AGAGGACGAGGATAGAGCCGAAGAAGACCGGGTACATGAGGAATGGGGGTGGGAGGAAGAGTATGGAGTGGAGGAGGGTATGAGCACATAGTAAAGCAAGGGAAGAAGAAACCGGTAGATGCAGGAGAGTCTAAGTGCACAGCAGTGTACAGCTCAAAAGGCGGCCACTGCAAAGGCAGCCACTGCAAAGGCAGCAAGGCCGGCGAGAAAATGGTTGAAAACGGATGAAACAGAGTTTTCGAGTAGATGCAGTACAACACTGCGGAAAGGGGACGCTTTGTATGTTAGTTCTCGCGCCATATCCCAAAGGGACGCATGCGCTTAAATGATTACAATCAATCAATCAATCAATCAATGGTTGGAGATCGGCTCTCCAAGACAGAGGCAATACTATTCTCGCGACAAAACGACAAGAAGTTTAAGGATGCCATGGCCTCCCTAAAGATCAAAGTCGGAGAAACAGAGATAACTTACAATCAAACGGCCACACGATGGCTCGGTATCTGGATCGACAGCCACCTAAGGCTCCGAGAGCACCACAACGTCTGTCTACGCAAGGGCAAAGAAGTGAACGCCGGATCCGACGGCTAGCCTCTACCCAAGGCCTCTCCCCGGAGAACATCAGGAAAATACAGCTCGCAGTAGAACAACCTGTCCTAATGTATGGAACTGAACTCTGGTGGGACATGAAGCCCAACGACTCCAGAATACACGACATCCAAAGAGTCGTCAACAGACAAGCTCGGGCTATCGCCGGCGCACTACGAACGACGCCAATAGGGCCGCTGATATCGGTAGCGGGACTTCGCTCGGCACAGTTCCTACTCAATCACAGGCAGAGAAAATACGCATCACGAACTATGGGGCTCCCTTCAAATCACCCTCTGAGCTTCCTTATACCCCCAGACATCCACCGGCTGGGTGAAACGCATAAGTCTATCGGGAAACTACTGCGAAGCAGAATTGAAGAAGCAGCCACGTTGGATGCCGGAGCTGAAATAGTCCCCAGAAAAACCACAGAGCCTCCGATTCCAGAAAACAGGATCCACATAATGGATATGGAGAGAGCTTCAGCTGTAGCATCAATATACGCAATCCCGCCGAGAGGAACGATAGCAATATGGACGGACGGGTCACGGAGCACCGAGGGAAACATCGGGGCGGCCATAGCCCAACTGGACCTGGAGGAGGGCTGGCGAACGAGACAATGGAACTTGGGAATAACGAAAGAGGTGATCGACGCTGAACTATTTGCCATATCCGGAGCTCTACGTTATGCATTGGAATATGAAAACGAAACCCCTGCGGACACGCTCAGAGTCTTCTCAGACTCACAAGTAGCACTGAAGAGGATCCAATCACAAGATCCGGGCCCAGGGTCTAGCGTAACAGAAGATATTAGGAAACACTACCGAAAACTGGAAGAAGCAGGAATCAACATTCACCTCCACTGGGTCCCAGGGCACCACGGGATCGAGGGAAACGAGGTCGCAGATGCCGCTGCGAAAGAAGCCACCAGACAAAGCCTACATCCGGATGCAAGACGCTTTGGGGGCGACCTCTGTCACCCACATTGCGTGAAGCCTGAGAAAGAGAACGGAGGATGAAGAGAGAGAGTGGGCAGTCAAGACGTGCGAAAAATACTACCCGCAAAGATTCAAGCTCCCCCGAACCCGGAAGCTAGACCAAACAGCGATGAGGGCCTGCAAAAGCCTAGCGAGTAGATACTTCAGATTTTCCACAGACAAAGGACTAACTGCGGAGTACCTGGAAAGAATAGGGAGAGCCACTAGTGACAAGTGCTGGTGGTGCGGAGACCTTCGTCAGAACCGGGAACATCTGTTTAAAGATTGCAAACACTGGAGAAGACAACAAGAGAAGCTGTGGAAAGACCTAAAGCAGGTCGGCCTCACGAAAAGACATGCACTCTCTACTGTATTTTCAGAACGGAAGGCGACAGCGGCCGTTCTGAAATATTTGGAAATGACGGATGTGGGAAAGGTAAAACACGATGCGGAAATAAGAAAAGAAGAAGAGAGGAGGGCGGAGGAGTGGGGGTGGGAGCAGCACGGAGAGGGGAAGGCGGAAGCAGAAGGAGAGTGAAGCAGGGGACGCTGATATGAAGGAACGGAGAGCAAAGGAGAGCAGAGGAGAGCAGAGGAGAGGTGGATTATATATCACAATGACACAGAAAGAGGAGAGAGCGTGCTTAGTAGACTGCTATCACAACTCAAAAGGCGGCCATCGCCAGTGCGAAGGGTCGGCGAGAAAGAGGGTTGACAACGGACGAGCATCATGTATACAGAAAGCCTGTAAAGAATCAGAACCATAGGGGAGGGGAGGGTGGAGGTTGTAGAGTAGTTGCCGCGCCATATCCCTACGGGACGCATGCGCTAAAATGAATTCAATCAATCAATCAATCAATCATGGTTGGAGATCGGTGTGGAGGGGGCGGAGAGAGCAGAGGGCGGAGGGGAGGTGACATACACAATAATGGAAAGGAAGAGGAGAGAACGTGCTTAGCAGCCTGCTAGCACAACTCAAAAGGCGGCCATCGCCAGCGCGAAGGGTCGGCGAGAAATAGGGTTGACTGTGGACGAATTTCCATGTATTCAGAAGGCCTGTAAGAAGCAGAACTAAAAGGGGAAGGGGAGGGAGGAAGCTGTAGAGTAGTTGACGCGCCATATCCCAAAGGGACGCATGCGCTTAAATGAATTCAATCAACCAATCAATCAATCAATGGAGATCGGCAGGTAGAGATAGGAGAGCCGAAGTATGCTGTGCGTACAACTCGAATGGTGGCCACTACAGAGGTAGCAGGGCCGGCGAGAAAGGGGTTGAAAACGGATGAAACAGAGCCTGGAGTTAAGGCAGTTCAGCACTGCGGAAAGGGGACGTTCGTGTACGTAGCTTGCGCCATATCCCAACGGGACGCATGCGCTTAAATGATTACAATCAATCAATCAATCAATGGTTGGAGATCGGTGGGTGTTGTGGGGTAGTGGGAGACTGGAGTATCTGTGCGGAGCATTGGGGGTTGGAGAGACTGGGGGGGTGGATGTGGTGGGTGGACAGCGGATATCCGTGCTGTGATGTGGAGATTCGGCGATCATCGAGCATCACCGTCACCACAGCGACCACACGGGAGAGTGTCGATGATGAAAAGATTATGGACTGGTTGCGCGTTCATGAGCCCGCTCGGGTGCGCTGCTGGGCGGTGGTATAGAGTAGATATTCACCGTCCGTTGTTGCAGCTATTCGCAGCTATGATGGGGGCGAGTTTAATGTTGACGATGATGGATACGGTCCAGAGCTACTGAGAGGGCCAGGCGAAATTTGAACATCATGTGAGAGCTATTTCCACACTCTGCGGATAAAACCCCCAACGATCCCACCCATATGGAGCACTGAAATCCCCGTCTTTCTTTAATCAACACCATCAACGCTCCCCGGGCCCAGTCTAGATTAGTAGTTACCCTCCAGCCGGAAAAGAGGTATATTTGTGCCTTCTCTGCATCCACTTGGGTCTGGAGAAGTTGCTATCTTGGGTATATTCAATATCACCAGTCCCTACCGAACCTGGATGATGAGTTCGTAGAAGTAGTGGAAACTTGAACTTCAACTCACCAACAACACCGCCGCGAGCGCCGTGGTGTTCAACCACATGGCTGTCCATGGTTCCCGACAAGCAAAAAATTGTTTTTAAGCAGAAAAGCAGCATTCACTTCTCTCCCCCGACCATTACCACTTCTTCACAGCTTCACATCACCCCATCTCACCAACCCCGCCGAATCACCACCCATGAATCACCCTGGTCCCTCCTCCCAACCCCCTCCATCCTCACCCCAACAAGCCCCCATCACCTCCCGTACCTCCCCACCAACCATTCCCCGTCGTTCATTAACTCTCCTGAAGCCGTGGTCCCCTCCAATCCACCGCCATCCCCTCCCATCCTCCCCATCGTTTCCCCGCCACCAGACCCCGAGCCGCACAGACCCCATCCCGCTCCCGACTCCGCGAATTCTTCACGCACAGTCCCATTACCCCACTTTCTGAGGAACTGCGGATCTGGACCATGGAGGATGATTCGGGGTTTAAGGTTGCGATGGTGATGATGGGTGCGTGGTAGGCGGGAGTAGGGTGGGTCGCGGGGATAATAGGTATGGAATTTTGATAATCGGACTAGTACGTGATTCAAGTAATGCATATGACTGGAATGAGAAGAAGATTTGATTTTGAGAGTCGAGGCTAGGATAATCGAAAAACTGATATTTAACTTAACGGCATGTTAAGGATGAAGGTTGAGAGAAAGAGACCCCGTGATGGGTGTGTGTTTCATATCAAAGAAGTATGAGCAAGCACTGTAATTACGAGCCAGATGAGTGTCTGGAATATCTCCTTCCAGAACCTCTGATTGAGCCAAACGCTGGTGGAATAGCTGTCCCAGCGCGATGCCAAACCAACTCTTATACACGTTTCCAAGTCTCCAGCTTCCCGCGAGGCAAGCCTCGATCTCATCCCAAACTTGGTTTATTACGGACGTATGTAGAGTAACCATCTCAAATTTCCTCAGTACACATCCCCGATATCGCCAATCCCACCATTCCCCTCGCTGAGCACCCGAGTAGGTTCATCCACCACCGCGAACAATATCTTCGCCATCAAGACTCGAGCTCACAGCTCCACATTCTCCTGATCCTCATCCTCCACAACTACCCGCACCCCTCCATCGGGAACCCCCTCACCGCAATACCCTCCCCTCCAAAAGCTACTTATCCCCCAATTCCATCATTCAGCCTTTACATCCTCTCCCCCCCCCCATCTGACTACCTCACTCTCAACCCGTTTCGACACCAAGCCACTGAATCCTCGCCACCCACTTCTCAACATCAACATCAACATCAACCTCCCTCAATCAAGTCTCTGCACCCAGGGAACATTCCTGGCTCTGAGGTGCACCGCAGTGGATAACATTTCATCCCGTTCAGCCGGTAGGATGACACATGCGATGGGGATGTGTGTGTGCATGAAGTTGCATCTCGTTGCTGGTGGAATTCAAGGGAAGGTGGGTTCATATGGGGAGATGTTGGTGGTCACGGATTATGCGGTGTATGAGAGGTGGGGATGGTGAGGTGATGATTGTGGTGGTGGGTAAGACTGTGAGGGATGGGGGGAGGTGTTGGGAGGTGGGAGGTGAGGGATTGTAGATGGATGAACATGATGATTGTGAGGGCGGTGAAGGTATATTAGCGTATTTGAGAATTAGGAGGGCGGTTTGAAGTTATGGCGAGCTCGAGTGAGCTTCCAGTACTTCCGGGTGAGACTTCATGGGTCTGGCCACCAACCACCGGTATCGAGCCATAAACCTCATCACCACCATCAATATTCTCACTGAAGACATTCTGATTCCCGAACCCACTGCAACTAACCCCACAAGACCCATTTCAACCGCACATTACTCCGCAAACTTTTTCTTTGTTTGTTTGTAATCATTTTAGCACATGCGTCCCTTTGGGATATGGCGCGAGAAACTAGCATACAGACGTCGCCAACCTTGCTGCCTCTGCAGCGGCTACCTTTTGAGCTGTACCCTGTTGTGTACTTAGGCTCTCCTGTATCCTCCATTGTCTTCTTCTTCAGCATTATGCATATGTATCCTCAATCCCCGCTACCCACTGTCTGCCTCCTCTTCTTCCCATCCCCCTTCCTCGTGCTCTCGCTCGTCTCTGGCTCGGTCCTCTTCCTCTGTTTTTGATCTTCCCACAAGCGTGTTCCCAATGAAGTTCAGTAACGCCGTGGTAGCCCTTGGTTCAGCGAATATTGACGACACCGCGTGCGACCTCCTGAACCCTCCTTTCGTCAGCTTATTCCAGAGCTCCTCTTGCTCCCTTCTCCATGTTCTACACTCCTTGAACAGGTGGTCGCGGGTCTGACGGGGTCCGTCGCACCACCAGCATTCGTCGCTGTCTCTTTTTTCTATCGATTTTAGGTAGACCGCTGTGACTGCGCGGTCTGCCGCAAACCTGTAGTATTGAAGAGCGACTTTTTTCTGAGCTTTTGCAGCTGTTGGGTCCACTTTGGTAGACATCCTGAGCTTGTATCGCTGGGGATAGTACTTTTGGCACTTCTCCCCAAACCACTGCTTCTCTTCTTGGTGTCTGGCTTCGTTGATCAGTCGGCTGATATGGGCTAATGAGGGTTTCTGAGTCCGCCGAGAATTCGGGTTCCGGGTGGCAGCTTCTTTTGCTGCTTTGTCTGCTGTATCATTACCTATAATGTCTTGATGGCCGGGTACCCAGTGTAGATGCACATCCACTCCTCTATTGCTTAGTTCCGCGTAGCTTTTCCGGATCTCGTTGGCCATTTCTTGTCCCGGCCCTGGGTCCAATGACTTGATTCTTTCCAGCGCAAATTTGGAGTTAGTGAAGATCCGTATTTCGTCAGGCCATGCGCTTGGTGACATGGTTTTCGGGGTCGCCGCAATGGCGAATAGCTCGGCGTCGATGGCTTCCTGATTCCTTCCCAAGGTCCAGCCATAACTCTTCCAGGCCCCGTCTGCGTCGCGCCATGCCGCCGCTGCCCCGGTGTCTCCTTCCCGGTTCTTTGATCCGTCTGTCCAGAAGACTTCCACCAGTCTTTGTTACTCCGCAAACCGTTCCGCCTCCACATTTGGACTCATGTACCTTGCTCTAGTGATCCTCCATCGATCAGCGCCAATAGCTCAGTTGGGAGAGCGTCAGACTGAAGTGATTCGGTCATTAATCTGAAGGTCACCCGTTCAATCCGGGTTTGGCGCATTTCTTTTTACTCTTTTCGTCAACCCTTTTGTCATTACTGTGATGGAGGTTGTTCGTCATGGTGAGGGGTTCATTTTTGGTCCGTCGTGATGGAGGAATACGTTATCCGACTGACAGCACCGATAGGTATCAGCAAAGCCCCTGAGATGAAGAACCCCAGAGCACCAGAACGTCATTTAACCCGCGAGTCCTCCCCACAATCCAGCTCCAACAGCAACACTGTGATCGCTTACATAACGCACAGTGGCTCGACCTGTGACTCACCACACAAACCGCCCACCACACACAACACACAACTTGCATTTTTCATTTTCGAACACAACGACATAGCAGCACCAACCTAACTTGGACCAGCACGCTATTACCGAACGAACGGAGATTGACGGAATCACGAGCGGAAGGGCTTTTTCGGTGAATCTTTCACACGCACTGGCGGATACAGTTTGGAGGGAATAATGAGGAGGATGGCCGGAGTTGCTGGTGCGGGGTGAGGATGTGGGGTGCGGGGAAATTGAGAAGATGAGATGTTTACTTGGACTTGCCTACTTGGACTTGGGTTACGAGGAATGAATGGAGGTTCACTTCACCCTACGGAGATTAAGGATTCGGCCCTTCGGCCCTCCTCCTGCTCGACGCTTCTTGGATTTGGATGGTGAAATATCGGCGGACAGGTTCAGAGGTCTGTAGACGAGGTTGTCGCGGGCGGTGTCTGTTTGGATGGGATGGCGTCGATTCTGGCCTGGGTATGGAGGAGGAGTTGGATTTGATTGGAGACACCGGGCTGGAGTTGAATGCCTTGGTGGTGGAAATGGTGCGCCAGACTTGGACTGTCGAATACGAGCAACCAATGGACTTTCTGAGGAACTCGCTCGGCAGCAAGGTCGTCATCGAACATTCAAAGAAACAGTCTATGGAATTGGCCATACGAATCGGACGTTTCACTTGACGAGCGAAGAACTGCCGAAACAGTCTCCGAGTCTGTCTGTCTGTCGGAATATCGAAAACAGCCTTCGAGTATGGGATGTCAACGTTTGTGCCAATTTCGGCACCACCGGACATGGTACAATCATCTACACCATTTCACACCCGGTTATACATAACACCCGCCTCATCGTTTACCTGGTTCCCATCTCCTACACCGACCGCCTTCCAAAATATCCGACCTCTAGGCCCCCGACGTCTCCTACCCTTCGAACCAGCTCACTGTCCCACAGACTCCTAATTGATGCCCCTGACCCCACGATTCACCATCTCCCACCTCCAGCTCCACACCCAATACCAACTCCCGACAATGCTTCCGACCTCCCCAACCAACACGCAAACCCACCAATCCACAGTTTGCGCCTCGAGGACAGCTGAACCCCCCATCATCATCACACAACATAACGCATCACCGCAAACGTCGCAACAGCCGCATATCCAGACCCCGTACAACAACAGCCAACACCACATTATCAGTGGCCCCGGGACGGAGCAGACACAGCAGACACGGAGGATACGGGGGAGTGCAGTATACTGTGTCACCGTGGGCTATGGGAGTTCAGTGTACTTTCATGGTACCGGGTGGATTGCGGGGGAGGAGGAGAAGGAGAAGGAGAGGAGGGGTATCGCCACCATCAGACGCTCATCATCACCATCAGACGCTCATCATCACCATCAGACGCTCATCATCACCATCAGTCGCTCATCATCACCATCACCACCGCCACCAATATCCGCCCCCCTCCTCCCGAGTTCGAATCCGACATCCCAACCACGAATCCCTTCAACCGATCCCCGGGCCACCGCATCTCCAGCGCAACCACGTTTTACCAACCGATATCAACACCAACCTCAACGGCAACAGCAATGACAGGAACGACAGCAGAAACCGGCTACCCACATCCCCCCATCCCTAACGTATCTTACACAATCCCGCGGCGACAACCCCACACCCCATACTTCTGAGTCCAATCCAGTTCCCGAACTGTGCGGCGCAGGGTAATCGGGAGGAGGAGGAGGAGGAGGAGGGTGAGGGTGAGGATGAAGACGGGGAGAAGTTGTGACTAGGAACCATGAAACCGTGGAATACCATCCAAACCGATTCCCGACAACTACCGGCAGAGCTAACCGGCACAGCAACAAAGTATAACACATAACAAACCCCCCCACCGGGGGAGCGGGGAGGATCCTGCTGCTGCTATGTACCAACACGTCGCCGTCACCTCAGCAGCCTCAGCAGCCTGAGCAACAGCAGTAAACATACCCACCAACACCCTCTCATTCCCACATTACCCAACATCCCAGTCACCAGTCACCATTAACAACTCCACACTACTACCCCTTGCAACCCAGACCCCAGACCGTGCACCACCAAATAGTAGGTATCCCATCTATCTGGACCCGACTATATAGCATAGTACTCAATCAACCGCTCATAACGCCTTGTCCATTTCGCGTGTGTATACCGGCACCGGCACCAGTACCACACTCGACTGAGTAGAATAGCTATAGTAGAGTACACGAAATAGAGACACCTTCCCTCCATCATCCTCCATCATTCTCCACCGTGCTCGAACTCCAACTCCGGAAGAAGACGCAAGCCCCAAGTCACCGCAGCTCTCCAACCCTTCAACCAACGCCCGAGGCTGGCCTCCATTGCCACGGCCGCGACCGTGACCGTGACCGTGACCGTGACTGCATTTCTTCCCCCTGTTTCTGTTGGATGGATTTCGCAACCACAATGCCGGGCTCGGCTGGGCAGACCTTTGCAGATATCAACATCGTGATATCGAGAGAAAGCCGAGGGCACCAACAACAACGGCATGGTGACACCCATCTCCATCGCCATCGCCATGTAGAGTACTAACTAGTAGAGTACATCTACACATCAACGACTCGAACGCCTCATGAACCCCCCAATCGAAGAACTTGTTCGCTCATGATAGACTATGCAATATGTTGAATCCATTATTCCCCGAGTCTTCCATCTCTATTATCATTACCCTATCCTAAACTAAAAACTAATTACCCATATTTAAAAACTCAAACCAAACCTCCGCATCAGCATCCGCATCATCATATATCCAATACCCGTATTGTCATTGATGCTCCACACCGGTGAAGAGCAACAACCACAACCACAACGATAACCACAACGACAAAAACCCGAAGAACCCAGCCAAAACAGCAAGAAGGTAGAAAAACACGAAAGCACAGCACTACCATCCATCCCATCCTGCCTGCCTGCCGATCCAACCAAAAAGCCAAACAAGACGATCAACAAAAAGCAAAACGCGACGAAACGCAAAAACATGACGACAAAAAGTATTAAGTATACTACTTCAAAAAGCGCTCAAACAAAAAGGAGGATATCAGAATGCATGCCAACAGACGAAGAAAGACAAACGATAAAACAACGGCAAAAACAAAAACGTAGTTAGTAGTACTAAATAAGATCCGAGCCGCGACGCCATGTGTAAGTAAAAAAAAAAGAGGAGATATCAGCAACAACAGCAACAAGCAAGGAAACAAATAAAACCAAAGGTATCGCAAAACTAAAATATCCGTTACGAGTGTCTCAAAAAAGTTTATGCCGCGATCGAAGAAGACGAAGTCGAAGAAGTCTCAAGCCAACCAATCAAAATCCAACGGTCGAAAAAAAAAAAAAATCGTAACGGTCATACTATATCGGGGAGTGGGGCCCGGCGGAGACGAGTATTCTGCTGATCAAGGATCTCTAATCCATATCACTGTCCATATCCGTATCCGGAGCTGGCGACGGCGACGACGACGACGACAGCGTCATCCCGGCATCGTCATTGAGCGCGAGTGTGTGTGAGTGAATCTTGAAGGATTCGCCGAGGAGTTTCGTAATACTGTTTGGAAGTCAGACACGGGTAAACATAGCTAGAGGAGAAGGGATAAGAGACTCACCCCCACACCACCACCTCATCAATCATTCCACCCCACACTCTCGCGACAGCGGCGCTGAGACGGGATCCAAACATCTCGACTGAATCATCATCAAACAAGTGGCGAATCTTTGCGAGCATTGCGTGCTCCTCTTCAGTGGGCGGGATCTCATCGGCCTCTTCCTCCAACTTCTGCAGCCACAGACTCAAGATGATCATGAGGTCAAACCCACACAGGGGATGCTCGACGCTCCAGTTGAGTGCCGAGGTTCGCGCAACCCAGCGGATACCCATCAACGCGGGGATTTGGAAACACTCAAAACACAACTGAATGACCTTTGTCATTGCGTCTGATCTGTGGATGAGGCGGGTCGACATGGCGCTTGCGACATCCTCCGGGCTGTGGTGCTGGACGGCCTCTTGGATGGCAAAGAGGTCAACCTCCAAGCGGGCAGCAGCGCACCGATACATGGCCAGCGCGTTAAAGATCAGAGGATGACCCTTCTGCGGGGCCTGCGTGAGAGGAACAATCATGCTTTCCGGCGTGCACAAGTCCAAAGCCCTGTGCCACGTGTCTAGCGCGACACGAAGGGTTTCCCGATACTTTGATTCATCGTCCTCCAACGCCTGGGGATTTTGTTTCACATCCCAAACAGTGAGGAAGAGCGTATTGATCATGATGCGGGAGGCAAACACGCTGTACTGCGGTGGCTCGCCGTGGAAGAGACGGTTGCGGGCATCTGCATACGTCGGGGTCGCCTCGTTGGCGAGCGACTCGCGCAAGGTCTGATCATCCGACAGGTCCAGGTTCCACAGAGATTCCGAGCACGGAAGGGTGATGGCATCAAACTCGTTCGACTCGAGAGGAGGAGGAAGGTTGTAAGTCAGCGTCAACATGCCAAAGAAGACCTCGATGGCAAAGTATGTGCGCTTGCATCCTTCGTCACGGAGCCAGTCCTGTTTGGTGATAGGCTCATTGTCCTCGCCACGTCGCTCGGTTTTAAGCTGCAGCTCGTAGCGACCACCGATAACCATCTGTTTCAATATTAGCAAACATGTAAACAATTGTTGAAACGGAACCTTACATTCACAAGAAGGGGGCGGACA